GTTTTCTTCATGCAGGGATGGCTTACAGCACAGAAGAAATTCTTGGCAGGATGGAGTAATTGGAACAACCTGTCCAATCCCACCAGGGAAAAACTTCACATACATACTCCAAGCCAAGGACCAAATTGGCAGTTACTTCTATTTCCCATCCCTTGGATTCCACAAGGCTGCTGGTGCATTTGGTGGCATTAGAATATGGAGTCGTCCTCGAATTCCCGTACCTTTCCCTCCTCCCGCCGGAGATTTCACTGTTCTAGCCGGTGACTGGTACAAGACAAATCACTATGTAAGCACATTCTCAAATTTCTTTATCTTCAATAATCCTTATAGAACCATTTTCATTGCTTCTGTTTAATTTGCATTTTAAGTTGGTTTTTCTTCGAATCTATAGATACTGAGACACGTCTTGGACAGTGGCCGCAACCTTCCCTCCCCTGATGGCCTTCTCATTAATGGTCGTGGGTGGAATGGATATACATTTACAGTTGATCCAGGTGTATAATAGAACACTTTAACTTTCAGTTTTCTGGCTAACAGTAGCCTTGTTTCAACTGATATCATGAAACTTCTCTGCATATCTTTTACAATTCCATAATTCAAATTCCTATATTGCCATCTTTTTCAGGCAAGACATATAGATTCAGAATATCAAATGTGGGAATTGCAACTTCCATTAACTTCAGAATCGAGGGACATACCATGAAACTGGTAGAGGTAGAAGGTTCTCATACATTGCAGAACATCTACACTTCCCTTGACATTCATTTGGGACAGTCATTGTCTGTCTTGGTCACAGCTGATCAGGCACCAAAAGACTATTACATTGTAGTCTCTTCACGATTCACTCCACGAGTCCTCACCACGACAGCCATCCTTCACTACAGCAACTCAAAAATAGGAGTTTCAGGTCCTGTTCCTGGAGGCCCAACTACTCAGATTGCCTGGTCTGTTCACCAGGCTAGAACTATTCGGTATTTTGTTGCTCAGTCTGGACTAGATTGTTTTATTTGCACTGTCATGTTATCGATTCTCATGTGTTGGAATTCGTGTGATTCAAAACCCAGTTGGAATCTAACAGCAAGTGGACCTAGGCCTAATCCCCAAGGCTCTTACCACTATGGATTGATCAAGACTGGCCGAACAATCATTCTTGCAAACTCTGCACCTTTTATCAATGGCAAGCAGAGGTATGCTGTCAATAGTGTCTCATTTGTTCCTCCAGACACTCCATTAAAACTGGCAGACTACTATGGCATTCCCGGAGTTTTCAACCTTGGAAGTATCCCTACCAGTCCCACCTGGGGAAATGGCTATCTCCAGACTTCTGTCATGTCTGCGAATTTCCATGAATATGTTGAGATTGTGTTCCAAAACTGGGAAAACACAGTTCAGTCATGGCATATTGATGGTTATTCTTTCTTTGTTGTTGGGTAAGTCTGACCTCATCATCATCCTTGATACGATTAATTGGTTATCAGATCTTTGAACTCATGATCAAGTCTATGATAATCTTCTTCGTTATGGTAACAATTTGTTTGATGATAATCAGGATGGACAGAGGGCAATGGACGCCTGCAAGTAGAGCTAAGTAC